GATCCATAAGGTGTTGATATGCCGTTTAACAAAAAAAAAATAATTTAAATTTACAATGCACATTATATGAAGCAGCATCTTATATAGCCTGAATCTTTTCATGCATTTTTCTTTAATTTTCTGTTACAGGACCTCCTAGACAAGGTAGTAAAGGAAAGGAAGAAGAAAGGACTAACCATTAACTGTAAGAAGACAGAAAATATATTTGTCAACAAGAGAATGAATTATGAATTTGAGATGTCAACATCAAACAAGAAGTTTAAACATCTGGGAAGTGTTATAACAGAGAATGGAAAATGCGACACTGAAATCTGAATGCACATCAGATTGCTGAAAGATGACTTCCAAAATCAAAACAAAGTAATAAGAAACAGGAAAATTTCAATAGAAATAAATAAAAGAGTGTTGAACTGCAATGTAGTATAAATCCTCTTGGATTGTAGTGAACACTGGAACATTTCCCCATAGATGAAGAACAAATGTTGGTATTTCACCTATTTAAGTTGTAGAAAAAAGGGATAGTTCAGTGCCGTGACATGGGTGAGAAAAAGAATGAACCCATACCTTTGAGATTCATACCTTTTATGAGTATAACAGAAGAAAAGAGAAAGGAAGAAATTTTGCAATAATGGTGTTGCAAAAAATAGTATTTTATGGACTTATCGTGTCACAGAAAAGAAACGTTCTTATAAAAGTTCTTTGAGGTTTTGAGATTTCTTGTTGTGGTGGTGTTGGTGTGGCAATGTTTCAGCATCCAGATTTCCTGAGGATTGAGAAAATATTTCTTCCTGTGGAGTAGGCACTACAATCCTGAGTTCTAAAGATCTGTTGATAAGAGCAGTGTTTTTGTATGTGCTAACTGAAAGAGGAAGAAAGATTGAAACATGGTGCAGATCAGGGCAAAGCAGCTTCAGTAAGGGGCCTTCTGATTGGTTCCTTTTCAGCCAGCCACAGGGATCATTGTAACAATATGAAGAGGCCCATTCCAAGGGGAGTTTCTTCAATAGACTCATAATAATTTCAATACAAACTTGAGATAACGGAAATGTGGTTCTACAGTAAGATACTGAGAATTCCATGAACAGAATGAGTAAGCAATGCAGAAGTCTTAAAGAAAATGGTAACAAACACTTATACTCCAAATCAGGAAGAGAGATGAAATTTCTTGGACATATAATAAGGAGGGAGGGCTTAGAGAACTTCATTCACACAGGGCATTTTGAGGACACGAGAGATAGGGAATGAGATATTAGGCCACCTACCTGATGAGCTGAATGGCTAAGAGAACGGTGGGTGGGGTGGCAAAAAGAGAAATGCTGCTAAGGCCTACAAGAAATAGGACGTTGTGGAGAGCCAGATCCCCAACATCCTGAAAGGACACAGCACATAAAAGAAGATTTTCATTTGGGGTTTATTGAAATAAATAACTACAACAGATACTGCACCCTTCATTTGGAAACAAATATAATCAAATCTTTTTCTTTTATACCAGCACAAGCCCTTTAAAAAAAAAAAACAAAGAGGAAAAGAAAACGAAACCTAAAAGAGAAATCCCACCCACAAATAATGTATCCAGCCCACCTTGTTCATAAAAAACAAAAACAAATAAGAGTTCAATCCTTTATTAAGGACACACGACTGGTATGGGTCCAATCTCTTAGCAGAGAGGTCCAGCCCAATAACTTCAATAGTATTTCCCCATAACATTTTTTTCTTAACTTTCCCCTTTTCTATCTTTTGCTTATTGCCGTGACCATCTTTTTTCATTCTTTCTAGTCTTCTGCACCCTGACAACGGAAGTTCCACACTGACCATTTCTTCAGTGTTTTCTTTAAGTTTGCTCTTCAAAGAATTTCTTGCCCAGCTCTCAAAAGATTTTTTTTCTTAGCACATTCTTCCATATCATGCAGGCTGGATTCTTTCTTATTCTCTGTCTACTCTGGCCTGTCCAAATTATGTTCCATACTCAGAACGTTCTATTACTCTCTCTCTCTCTCTCTCTCTCTCTCTCATATATATATATATATATATATATATATATATATATATATATATATATATATATATGTTTTAAAAGGAAATCCACTATGCCACTGCCCATCTGCTCCAACCAGGTTTCATTCTTAGCCACCCCTCAATTTCTCAGCGGTAGGAGGGGATAAAAATAATAAATAAATAAATGAAATACAAACGGACCTCCAGCATGTACTGGCCATGGGATGCATTATTAACTGTAATTCATATCTGCAGTGTGTGGACAGGGATTTAGAGAGATTAATTGAAGAAGTAGAAAAAGAAAATGTCAAAGAAGACGATGAAAAAGAAAAAGAAAAAATAAGAACAATTCAAAGAAGTTGAAGAAGAAGAAATAATATAAAGGAAAAAAAAATATGATGCCAAAGAAAGAAGGAGAAGAAGATGTTGTAGAAGTCGAAGAAAAAGATATCAAAGGAGAAGAAATAAGAAAAACGAAAAGAAGGAATAATAAGAAGTCAATGAAGAAGATGTCAAAGAAGAAGAAATAAAATGTATAAAAAATAATATGAGGGAAAAGAAAATGTCAAATAAGAAGAAGAAGAAGAAGAAGAAAAAATTGTAGAAGTGAAAGAAAAAGATATCAAAGTAGAAGAAATAAGAAGAATGAAAAGAATAAATAATACTAAGTGAAAGAAGAAGAAAATGTCGAAGAAGATGTAATAAGTCAAAAAAAGATGAAGATGTTAAAGGAGAAGAAATAGGATGAAAAAAATCTACCAGAAGTTAAAGAAAAAGAAGACATCAAAGAAGTTAAACAAGAAGAAATAATATGAAAGAAAAGTAGGAGAAGGTGTCACAGAAGAAAAAAAAAATAGGATGAAGGAAAAGAAAGAATAATATGAAGTCAAAGAAGAAGAGGAATCAGAAGCAAAGTAAAAACAAACAAAACGATGGGGCTGACCCAAATTCATGCTTACTGGACACATAATTTAATAAGAGGCCAGAAATTGGAGGCCAACAGTAAGGTAACATTTTTGCCTTATTATTAGTTTGAAAATGGGGAGGGGGTGTGGAAGAAGGGTGGGGTCATGTGGAATGAGGCGGCGGCAGGGGTCGGGGGTATTGTTTCCATATTATTTTATTGTTATTTTTCTTTTGATTTTTGTTCATTTATTTTTCTTTAATTTTTTGGGAGGTGGGTGCATTTTTTTTATATTGTTGATGGGTTATATGGGGTGAGTGAGAAATTTTGCATGCCAGTTGTTCAGACTAATGGACCAGGGTTAGATTAGGTAAGGAAGGTGGGTGGGAAAATGTTTTGGGGGAAGAGAAAATCAGCAAAGGAGGCATTAAATATTCTTTAAAAATGCATACAATAATTCCCTTTATCTTTCTTTCCTCATAATTTAACCTCCATCACTTTTTTTTTATCTTTTTCTTCTGTTTTTCCTTCATTTTTTTTGTATTTTTTCTTACCTTTTTTCTTTCCTTCTATTCTTTCCTTTTCATCTTCTTTTCTTTATTTCTTTCCTCACTTCTTTCTTTCTTGTTTTCTTTCTTGCTTTTTTTCTTGCTTTCTTTCTCTTTCATTCTTTATTTTTTGTTTTGATCTTTTACTTTTTTCTTTCTTTTCTTTTTCTTTCCTGCTTTTTCTTCTGTTTCTTTCTATCATTTTTCTTTCTTTCATTCTCCCTTCCTTTCCTTCCTTTCTTTTCTTCCTAGTTTTCTTTTTCTTTCATTTTTTATTTTTTACTTTTTTCTTTTATTTTCTTTCTCTTTTCTTTCTCCTTATTATTTTTTATTTCTCTCCTTTTTCTATTTTTCATTCTATCTTCATTTCTTTCTTTTTTTCTCATCTTTTTATTTTCTTGCTTTCATTTTCATTCTTTAATTCTTACTTTTTCTTTCTTTCTTTCTTTCTTTCTTTATTTATTTATTTCTTTCTTTATTTATTTATTTGTTTAGTTTCCTTACTTTTTATTAATTTCTTTTCCTTTTATTTTTATGTTTATCACTTTCTTCCTTTCTTTCTTTCCCTCCTTTTTCATTTTCTTTTTTCTCATTTTTTACTTTCTTGATTTTGTTTTCATTCTTTAATTCTTACTTTTTCTTTCTTTCTTTCTTTCTTTCTTTCTTTCTTTTGCTTTATTTTTCTTTCTTTTTATTAATTTCTTTTTCCTTTTATTTTTGTTTGTTTGTCACTTTCTTTCTTTCTTTCTTTCTTTCTTTCTTTTGCTTTATTTTTCTTTCTTTTTATTAATTTCTTTTTCCTTTTATTTTTGTTTGTTTGTCACTTTCTTTCTTTCTTTCTTTCTTTCTTTCTTTCTTTCTTTCCCTTTTCATTCATTCTCTTTCTTTCCATCTTTCTAATCCTACCCCTTACCATCCCCTTACTTTTTTCTCCCTTTTCCCACCATCCATCTTACTAGACACCTCCCTCTCTCAATTCCTGTCACTTAATTGTTTGCTATCGTCTACATGTCAGTGCCCCTTTAATTGCAAGATCTGACCCCTCTCTCTCTGCAGCCGAGCAAGTAAAGTGACAAAAGACAGCGAGAAACAGGCACAGAACTACATGGGTGAGTGTCAGACAGAGCAACTTCCACAGACAAACCATACGGATACAGATGATTTATTAAATATCTTCAAATATGCCTTAGTCCATAATGGTTGGCCTTAGATCTCTGGCTACTCTTATTCCCCTTTTACACTGATATTAAGCAAGAGGTCGAGTACCACCCCAAGTTGCTTCAATACCGTTTCTCTTTCTGGCTAAGCCTTTCTCATCTTTACCCATCTCTTGCTGTCTCTCTTGTACAATAATTATATATTTTGTGCAAATGTGTGCATGTGGGTGGGGATGAGCACAGATTACCCACATGCATATGACAACAAATGCATGTAAATATAGAGTCAGGTATCCACACACCAGCATACGGCACATCAGATCTTGTTGATGAAGAGATTTGTACACCAGTGAAATTATGTGTGTTATTTGTATAAATCTGTGTATATTTCTAGGC